CCCCAAAACCCCAAAACCCCAAAACCCCTGAGCAATCTATTTAAAAGCCAATTTTAAAGTCAAATTAATATTCATTAAATTACACAATATGTACCCACAAAACCATAATCTGAGCTTACACACAGGCACACAACACCTTCAACATCTCAAAGCCCTCTACTTGCAAGGCCATGATCTAAACCAACCTGAGCCTACTCCATCCAAGGCTCTTATGAATGAAGAAGAAGATTGGCCCCTTCCTGAAGAAAGGAGTTGATACAATTTTGTATTCTCAGAGACCGAAGAGAAGGAAAATGAAATGAATGAGGAGGATATTGAGAGATTGTTAAGGACAGATGTAGAGGGGCTGGAAGTGACCAAGGATAATTATGGAGGAAGGCTACAGGAGAAGTATGAGGAGATTAAAGAGGTTGAGGGAAGGGAGGGTGGAAGAGATAAGGGGTTCTTGATATAGTTCTGAAGCAAGTATCGGATGTTGGATCTTTGGGGAATTCAAGTGAGTCTTCTGTTGTTACTGGGATGAATAGTTTTAGAATTGTGCCTTTCTTGGAAGAGAGGCTTGGAAGTTCATTTTATGAAGAGCTTTATGATGAGAACAAACAAAACAAAGGGAGAGGAAGACCAAGAAATTTTAGCAATATCGATGAGGATGTAATATGGTCAGTAGTACTTGGTAATGTCTCCAAGAGAGCAAATAAGAAGCCAAGTAGACAGAGAAGAGATGGCAAAGTTGCTTCGATTTGTAGGAATGCAAAGAAAGTTTGTATTGATATTCTCAAATACATTAGCTCGAGAGCTAACTACAAATCTACTGACATCAAAGAGGTTATTAAAGCTTATGCTGAAGCCTTCACTGTTGGATTTCTACCCATCATCTTTGATAACGAAATTGTTGAAGATAAGATTAGATTGTTCTGCCAATTCATAGTTCTCGCTTACCCTGAGTCTAAAGTTGAAAGAATAATTTCCTTGTTAAACGAAGCCAATTATCTATCTTTTGATGAATGCAAAACCTTACTTCATCAAATCAAGATAAGAAAATTGTCCTCAAAAGCTAGCTTTCAAGACATTGCTAGACAAAACATATGCTTTAAAAACATTATTATAAAGTTATTGTCTAAGCTTGACTCAACCAACCTCAAGGACAAACAAGGCTACAAATCCGTCTTATCATCACTCCTCCCTCCAAACACCCCATCCCCCATCCTCCAATCCAGCCTTTAATCACCTAAAAATTCCACCACTCCCACCACCACTCCCACCATCCCTTCCAAAATCCCCAAATCTCCCCACTCACCCCCTCATTCCTACATCCACCACTTAAAACCCAAAATTCTATAAACTTCTAAACCACTAGCTCACCTCAAATAACTAAAATTTGTATGCCAACCATTCCTATAAAGTATTTAGTCAATTGTGGCCAATCGGTTGGGGTTTTGGGGTTTTGGGGTTTTGGGG